CAACATTAAATTATGTAAAACAATAAAAACATATTTTTTGAAACAGATAAATTAGGTATCGAAACATAGACCAATAAAAAAATCAGCCAGTATGGCAGTATTATACCTTTGTGTCCACGAAAAACGGTAGGTACTGCAGTGCATAATTAAATTACCCATATTACTCAGTACCCTATACTGGTACCCTATACTGATTTTTGAATTATGTTTGTGGGACATGAAACTGGACTGTTGGATCATCAATCTCCAGCAACCCATTTCCATAATCACACTCTGTAGTCTATAACATTTATCTAGGACTTACAAAAGGGTCCTGAGCGGCGGAGGTGAGATTATTCATATATCTGCCTAGCTTGAATTTTATCCAGACTTTGTCCCATATTAAACAGAGTCCAGTGGGTTCCTCCAATCGACTTATATAATACGTCCATAATATTACTCTATTATAATAATATATCCCATCTTATAATTCTATATTTTAGTGTATTTCTAGTATCTCTATTACTAGAGGGTTATTATTCAATAAATTCATACGACAAACCATAACAATATAGTTTATAATATTTGATTTAGTTTTACATTGAAACAAATTGTTTGGGTTCGCTTGAACTCTTCGAAAGCTGTGGTGGGCTGTATAGTATAACCTGCAGGTTTTTCGTCGTCTTTACTATGCACTCTATTCTTGTCTACCGTTAAGTCTAAACTCACAGCCTGGTCGATAACATAATTAATTTTTTTATCGTAATGTTTTAATCTGCGCTCTCAATTCGGTTTTTAATCAGATTTACGGTTTCGGTACCTGCATAATATCATGACTTCAGTGTATATAATAAGGACGTTTTCCGTTTCAAGGATACGCTACCGTTGTCCGAGGAATGACGACGATGGAGCGTCAACCAACTTCCGGACTATATCACATGCGAGCACCGGCTAGGATATGATATATAGGTATATAAATATATGATATATATATATACAGTTCATACTTATGGTTTCCGCACCATCACATGCACGCGATGATGATGTGTATATAATGTTCTGCGTACACCTTAATAATATATATATATATAGGTGTACTTATATAACTGCAGCAGTACAGTACACACGAATTATAAGAAAAAAAATAATAACGTTCGCCCGGACGAAATCCACAAAACGTAACAGTCGTTGAACCAAATGTATGTGACCTGCCAAGGTTATTGGCTCTGCATTCATCTGCAGCGCGTATATCCTTTCCTCATTCCTCGAGCCCGGTCCCAAGGCCGTGGCCGGCGAGCGCTGAGCGACGACTGTACCTATATAGGTATACAATAATGTTATATATATATAGGTAGTACTATCGAGCGATGAGTATTATATAGGTACTGCAGGTATATAATATGTGCGACCACCTCGAACGACCGTCTTTTACGTACCTATATAATATATATATATCGGCAAAAGCGCGCACCTCTGCTGCAGTGCAGTCTGTCGCCGCCCCTGGTGTATGGTATTTTTTTATTCAGTTTTCCGACCTCCACCCCGCTCCACGCACCTGCGGCATGAACGACGTCGCCGACGGTCGACCAGCGACGACAAAAAAAAAAAAATAAATAAATAAATATTACACTCTGGCAGTGAACGATTAAATGACCATAAAAAAAAGAAAAAAAAAAGTCCTACCGGTTTAAGATTCTCGCGGGGTTTTTTTTCCTCACTCTCGCGCGCTGCCGATTGTTTAATTTTTCCAGCGCCGCACCGACGCGGATAGTTAAATTCCGTGATTGTTTTTCACATGATATTATTATATAGCTATTCTTATACCTGCGTAGTTATACCCATTGTGTTAATAACCGACGCGCGCTGCAAATAACTTCGCACAGATCCGCCGGCCAGATAAACACTCGTACGGCGGATACCTCCTACGTATATAGGTATATTACATTTATACACACAAAAGCGCACTAATATATTTATATGTTTATTGTATACTCACTGATGTGGCGGTGGTGGGTATGTATTTTATATAGTGTATAATATACTCATAGCATTGAAGCGTTGGCTGTCGTTGGCTAAAATAATGATAATAAAATAAAATCCGGGACGAAAAGAGTTAGGTACCCACATGAATTTACTGCGGTAAGTGCAAAGGTTTAAGTGAGATTTATTTACATACGCGCGTACAACCGCGGATAACCAAATCACGTGATCTGTGCCTACAATTCGAGAACTATGCAACTGCACACCTAATTCCACCTCACACCAAAATATTTTTAAACAATGGACCTAGTAGATAATGGACGTATGAACTAAAAGTATTGCTCATTCTTTAATTTGCTTCTTCACGTTTCATATTTGATACTGCACACGGTGTGTGCTGCTGTGCAAAATATTAGGTCCTGCACGTAACATGTATATACGAACTGTGATGCACATAAGACGTAAAATTCCACTTCGGACAGGAGCCATTTTCATCATACATATACAGGACGATGCACCAAACATACTCGGTCCCATTCTTTCTTTTAATAATGAAATTATTCAAATTTTGATTTTTGGAATTTTTTCAATATACTCCAAGAATATTTTTTAAATTTTTTTTAAATTTTTCTGCAGTACTCAAGGAGTGTCCTGCAGCCACTCAAACTTCTGTTTTTCAAAAAATAATCCCACTTTTTTTTGCCGTATCAGAATCAAAATTCATACAAGTAGTTTTTGAGTTATGAATTTAACTTTCTGTAGTAAGGATATTGGGGTCCACGATAATGTAGGGTCTAGAAGACATGGTAATTTAAAAATCTTGGTGAATAATAATAATTTATCAACATTAATAATTTGTAAAAATGGATTACGTATAATAATTAATACTAGAACTAATATTACATCTGTTTTATATTTTTGTAAAACCACTTTTAAGTTCTATTATCCTTAGAATAAACATTTTAATAACAGAGAATCTATTCGTCTGAATTTTGAATTGCGTACAACAACATTTTCAAAGAAAAATATTCCCTGAATAATTTACAGTAAAAAAGGAGGGTTCTCATTTTAAAAACCGAATTGGTATCGCCACAGGACACTCCTTAATTAGTACAAAAAATTCAGGGATTTTAAAAATGATCTTTGAGTATATTTAAAAATTCCAAAAATCAGAATTTGAATAATTTCATTATTAAAGGAAAAAAATGGGGGTGACGATGCTTAGTGAATCACTCTGTATATATACACACTCAGTGGCGTAGTGAACTTTAAATCATATGGAAGCAAACAAATTATTTATGACCTACCCCACCCTACTTCAACTGATGTATACGATACTCATATGCTCAAATACGGGGGGGGGGTTGGCTAGCACCCAAAATAAAGTTCCAAGACTGACCGTATATGTGGGCTTTATGAGGTTATGACCCACCACCACCCCCCAGAAACCAGAAGCAATTACTTCTGAAAATCATGGTTCTCTACGCCACTGAACACACCTATATATTATATATTTTATACATAAAGTATCAGGTAGATCTGGTCCGGTTAGCGAGAGGTAATGGTATTTGTGGGCGGTGGCGTGGGAGGATGCGTACAACAATAATAATTAAAAATCTAATAATGCCAAACAGTGTTACATTTACCTAATAGGTACCTATTTATTTATATTGTATTTCATTGTTTCTGAAATAATAATGAACAAGAGCGATTTATGTTATACTAGAAAATTGTAACAAGCGTACAATATATTTTAGTCGTATTCGGCGCCGCCGAGTGGCGAGTAATATGTAATATTCGAACTTAAAATGTTATTTTTCTCATAGATTCTCAAAAATATATTTCAAAAAAGAAAAAATTATACAATATACTTCCATGATAATGGCGAAAATTATTATTTTTTACTTGCGATCAAACTATAATAATAGGTATAATTGTGTACAATAATTTATTGACCATTTTATAAATTGTACCTACCTATATACGCATCATTCATAAAGTGATATTTTAAACATAATATTACTGATATTATATATTATTTAGGTACACATAGAAACTGAATTGTCAAAAACTGAACACATCTTACCAAAGGGACTAGTGCAGGGGATGAGAAATATATGAAAAAAAAAAGTAACGTTTATATATTTTTTGCAAGACGCCTTCAGAGTGGTAAACAAATACACGTTCTTTGATCGCGTGCCGATATAATATGCATACATTTTTTCAATCGTTTTTGAAGTTTTTTACGAGATTTGTAACTTTACACCTTTATATGCCTCCTACGCCTCAATATATATTATGTAGAATGTCAGACGTTTAATATTACATAAATATATTATAATTTGTAGGTACGTACTTCCAGAATAATAATATATGAATGACTGTAGTAAAATAATAAAATCCTATTAGGTTTTTGTTTGCATATTATATAAACGTTATGCGCTGCGAACAGACAATACGTGTGAGCGAGCGACACACGCGTTAATAATAATATAAAGTATAGTAAAATCAGTAACATTTTGTAACCTATTACCACAAAACGATATGCTGGTCTTATAATATTGTAATCGGTTTTTGATATAGACACCAATAACCATGTTATTAACTAGCGTTGACAACTGCACCGAGTAGATATATCTGAAGAAATCAACAGTGACAATTAGTCTGTAAAAAAGAAAATTAGCATACTACTCGATATTTTTTTTATGGCTTGAAAATTGAGAGGATTCATAGATAATATTGTTTTTGGGAATAAAAAAAAATCGGTTACAGTGGTTACGTAAAATTGGTTACACGGAAAAAAAATCTCGTCCTAAAACGAGTCTTTGTTAGTTACTCGCATCTGTGTAATAATGTGTATAACATAATAATATTATGTAGGTATAATATATTGGTATAATATGGTATCGTTATAGCAACTCGTCAATAATATGAACGTGTAGATAAATACAATAATAATATCCTGCAGAAAGTATAAAAGTACGTTCGTAACGTATTACACTATTATTTAACGACGTCCGATCATTATTGGCAGTCCGACGATGAAAAACGATTCGGCTAAAGCGAAGTTGGTGCCGGATTTCCGGGACCCTCCACGTTCAAGTCTTTTCCGACAATTGGGCGGAAATCTATTAGTACCAATAGGTCAGTCCTAAGTCATGATACATTATTACAGAGAGAACGTCATACGTGTGTATAATTTTAGTGTAAGACTGTAAACTCGATGTGTGCGAAACGACAACATTCGGTGGCACATCACATCATAATGGACCGATAATAGGTACCTAATACACTACATAATTATTAAACCGCGACTGTAATTTATTATTAATATTATCGCCGTTGTAGTTTTCTTTTTTTCGACCCGAGATTAATTTTTTGAAACGATAGATTTTGGTGGTTCTTACGAGTATTTCAATTCGTTGTGTCAAAAATTAACGAACATTTTGGTTTTTCTACTATGAATAGGTATTTATTTCGTAATATTATTATGATATGAAACAAAAAAGTTCCTTCTGCGCATTATCTGTGCAGTACAACTGCAGCAGACGAAAACTTAAACAATTGCTTTCATTTTTCGAGCCACTGATTTTGCAGGTATCGTGATGACTGTGGGCTGTTTCGCCGTCGGACTTACCTCTATGGTGACCAGCCGACCTATGCTTGGGCAAAAGATGATGTATGCCCGCGTCGCCTTCCAGGGGATGACGGTAGCAGCAATGTTTTACGATCTACAGTTTCTCCCTTCACCCTCCCACTAATTAATAATAATCATTGCTCTTATTTAAAATTGTTACGATATAACAATCAATAATCATATGCATATTATAATTTGGCATTGTACGTTACAACATACTATTAGGCATATATTATAAGCGTTATTAATAAACAACATATTATTTTATGCTTATAAACACAATACACTGTTATAAATTATAATCCATTTTTAGTTTAATCAAAGCACTTGCGTCAGCAAATATACCTAGAAATCCCAGAAAAATACTAAAAATTCAGCGGTGCAGGGACTTATTACCCTTTTCTTTTTTCCCTACAGGTATTTTACGACAGCAGAGGAGGCTCTGTGTGAACAAAACTACTCTTCTAGGACTTACTAACCTGGATAATGCCCAAATTGTATTTATAATATTAATATCTATACGTATATAGATAGATGCATGTGAATAACTGAATGGAAGGTTTTTTTTAATCCGTTTTTTGTTTTAGTCATAATATCGTTCATCTTTTTTTGCCTATTGTTCTATATCGTAACAGATTGTAGGCTATATTATGAAAAATAAAAATAATATTAAAAAAAATAATTATAAAAGATACGTATACATAATTAATTATATATAGTTGGTGTCTGCCTTTTTTTTTCATTTACTCGTTAGAATATTAAGTGGTTTATCGTATATTTGAATTTTAACTAAAGTATCTATTGGTAAACTAATATCTTTATATTATAATATGTAACTTATAATTAATTTAGTTATCAGTTTGACTAAACGCACGTTTTCTCAAATAGATATCTACGTTATAGTTGAAAAACAGTACTTACTTATATATTTTTTTAATATAATTTGAAGTATACTTGCTTTAGCATTATACTTTTACACTAGATACAGCACTGTGGCGTAACACTAGCTAATTTCTCATAAATAATCTAATCACTAAATTAAAATTGTATAACTTTTTAAAACCATCCAAGTATGAAGTAGAATACATAGGTATTGTTTATTTCCAACCACATATATAATACCTATTATTAAAATGCATTCAGTTTTTCAAAAATTATACTCATAAGTATAATAATGTCTAAATATAGAATATAGATGATTCCGAAATTCCGAATTTTAAACTTAAATTCGGAATGATCAACATTATGATTTATGAAATAAAAAAAAACCGTTTATTTTATAATTTACAGGACAATTTCAATGCCATAAAATGTTTTATAATAAATAATAAGTTAATGCGTCTCCTGCAGTAGCCGCATGCGTTTTCGATTTTTATTTTTATACTTCGTCATCGCTATGCGGTCTTGAACTATAACGTTGCGGCGCTATTAATACGGTAACGAACGTGGGGATTAAAGAGTAAAAAAATAAACAACGACATCAACAACAACAATCCTCTCGTTTTGATATACGACGTGTTGGCGGAGACTTCCAACCGAGATGGTATCTGCAATGGTTGCGATGCCGTAAGTTTAGAAAAATTGGAAAATTTATGGTCGCTCTTGTACGAAGGTCACCTACTGCGGTCATCGAGTCGTGTAATTTATGTTTTCTATCACACCATACGTAATATATACAATATTAAACAGTTGCCGGTGTTGTTTTAAAATAATATGTATGTCTTGCACGATTAAAGTTGTGTCTGAACGAAAATACGACATTTATTTTTTTATTTCCATAGTTATGTTATATATATATATATATAGGTAAAAAGAACATGGAAAATATGTTTGGTGCGGGTGGTGAGTGGTGTAGTTGTCGTGCGAGGGCGTGAGAGGGGGTGTACAACAGAATTAATAATTAAGAATCGAATAATGCCAAAGAGTTACACAAACCTAATACCTATAATATTATACACAATTATCTCGGGAAAAATAATTAACGAGAACGATTTATTATATCTGAAAGCTACAAGTGTGTATAATATTATAATATATTGAGTCGTTAACGCGTCGCATGCAGAGTGAAACCTATGTTGTAAATTGTTTAATTGAAACATTTTATATAATAAAATAAACTGTATAGAAGTTACATTCGTTTTCAAATAGATTGAGTTACACACCTAATACATTAGGTATATACGTTACATTTTTTAAATAAATATCCAGGATTTAAATTTTTCAAAAACGAACTGTATAATATTATATTACATAATATAGGTTATATAGCTGATTATATTATTAATTATTAAACCTTAGTCCTTACCCACTCTAGCTTCTAGACGTGCAGAATTAACAGACATTTCTTTTCTATACAAGCTAATCATTAACTATATTTATGCTCCCTATTTATTAGAAAATATCCCATTTAGAATCCCAGCCTTTAATAACTGATCTATACTTCCATGTTTTACTCTCCAGATGCCACCACACAACAACAATTATTTAAAAATCTCCAATTCCACGAGTCTTGGCTTTGTGTAATAAAGTTAACCGTCAAACACTTAGTAGCTGATTTTTTAATGTACAACCAAGAACGCGGGCTGAGCTTAGAATATTTCACAACCTAGACACCGGACCCAATCATGAAAAAACTTATATATATTTAATTTTATGAAACGGAAAACATTGTTTAATTTTATATAAAAATTAATATGTAATTTAATTTTTTAACTTATCTTTGTATTAAATCACACTTGTTCATAATTTTTTTGTAACTAAAGAACTTTGTCCTTTCTTGACTTTTTGTTAATATTTTTTAGAAATCAATGAAAAAAAAAAGTTTGTAAAATGAATCAAAAAAGTTTTAGCTTTGAACAGTAAACTCTACCAAAAAAAATATTATCGTATTATCATTATAAAATTGTAAGAAATCAAAATTTAATTCCAATGAAAGGACCAAAATTATAGGTAGGTACTTGTTTCTTATCAAAAAAAGATTAATATTTATAATATTGATAAACATCATTATTCATTATTCATTGAACTATTGTAAAACGAATTTAAAAAAACATTGTGAAAATAAAAATGTTATGAAAATCACCAAAATAAATCAAGGCTTCTAAGGTTTAGAATATTATACTATAGGCATAACTAACTGGTCCTGCGCACTTCGTGGCCCGTAGAAAATCACAAACCTTAAAAAACTGTGATTGTTCAACTCTTTTTAGGTGAAATTCACCAAAGTAAGTGCAACTCAACCATCCTGGTAAGCAATATGCAAAAATTCGATTTGATGCATGCTTATACCTGATCTGCCCGATTAACCAATGGCAACCAATGGCAACCAATGGCAACCAATAATAAATAAAATATAATACGTTATCTATTAATTATTTCTCCTATAACCAATAGCGATTATAGCGACCATTTATAAACAAACATTAAATCTCAAAATCCCTGTTTGAGCACCTCCCCAGGCTTCTATTAATTTGTCGTATGCCGTAGCGTGATGTTATAATATAGCCTATAGCCTTCCTCGATGAATAGACTATTCAACAAAAGAGTAATTTTTCAATTCAAACCAGTAGTTCCCGAGATTAGCACGTTCAAACAAACTCTACAGCTTTATATATAGTATAGATTATAAGAGGGATGTAAAGTTTTTTTACAAAATAAGTGGAAGGATGGAAAATGTAAATTATAAAAAGTGGTGGGATGCCATGCATTCCCCCAGACTTGAACCACTGAAGTTATACATATTACCATAAAACGACAAAGTATTATTCTGTATAATATACAGTGATCAAACGATAATATTATATTCACCCAATGGCCCATGTTGCCGCGGGTTATCCAATAAAAAAAAAAAAAAAAAAAAAATATTATATTGTGTACATTAATTTATTTGTTGACCTATTTATTTTATACTCAATACTTGTTATATTATGAGTTATGACATAATAGGTACCTCATTATTCTTTACTCATTATCATAGGCATAATTTATTAAACAAAAATTGAATCTTTTTTTGAACTTCCCAAAACATTGTTTTCTGAGCACAAAATTCGTTTCACATATCTGCAAAAAATAAAAATTTATTTTGTATCTTTTTACCCTTTTTTAAACTATATGAGTACATTGATAATATATTTTATAAGAATGGATAAAAGCATGTTATAAATAATTACCATAAACAACACCACTAAAAGGAAAATCAATGAAATAAGTATTATTTATTTTGCTTATTTTGCTATGATTTTATTTTACTATTCATGTTTTTACCTGAATATAGATAAAATCTGTGCGGATTGCATAGTGGTTTAACAAACAAAATTGACGTCACCTACAGGTTAATATAATAATAAAAGATACGAGACACGAGTAATATATTATAGTTAGGTCCTTTTATTTACGCCAAATTTTGAAAATTTAAATAACAAAGATTGTTGTACGATTATTTGTATACAATCTATAGCTGGTTGTTATAGCTAAAATTATAATGTTAAAAACAATTTTTAAGCGTAATATTTAATGTTTTGTAATATTATTAGTGCATAAAGTATTATGTTTTAAATGTAATTTTCTTGCTTATTAGTATATGTACATTTAAATCCACACCGATATATCTAAATATTAGATATGTTATATATTTACACATAGAGTGCAAAATAATCGAATATGCAATAGTGTAAGACTGCCAGAGTACCACAGTTTACTAAAAGGACGCAAAGTAAATATTATAATATACAGGATGATTCACCAAGCATGTTTAGTGTTCACCCCCCTTTTTTTCTTAAATTATGCAGTTATTCAAAATCTGATTTTTGGAATTTTTAATTATAATATGTTTAAAGATTTGAGATTTTTAATACTACATAGTCAGATTAGCTCACACCAATGCAGTGAAAAAAAAACGGTCAGGACCCACTGCTTGGAGTACTGCATGTCCACTGCAATCACTTAGCTACCCATTTCCCATTGCAACCGCACTACTTTGGTGTGCGTCCGGCCTTTAGAAGTGTCCTGTAATATTTTTAAATGAAAATGTAAACAACTGTAAATTATTACTAAGAATAATAGGTCCATGCTGCCTGGATTGGATGGTATAGAGGCCTACGGTGGTTTGAAAATGTTAGTGATTAA